GGTACACTCCTACATAATGGCATAGATCTGTTTGGATTATTTTGTTGACTGATACTGTTTTACCACAAAAATTTCAGGAGACTCAACTTGCCAACAGTTTATTAAAAAAAAAAAAAGTGCTGCCAGCATCCAGGCTTAGGCATCAAAGGCTATGGCAACAATTCCTTGAAGTTCACTCTTTGCTTTTAGCAACAGTTAGCATTTTTTAAAGATGAAATCTACTTTCAGTGCAACTGGGGTTCTTTTCTGTCTCTACACCTTAAATCTGAATACATCTTAGATTTTCTATGAACATGTTTTTTTTTCAGAATAATCTACATAAAGACAGGCTATTCCCAGGAGAAATTTTAATTAAATTCTTGTTCCTTTGGTGCATGTGATTTTTAGTAGATAAGCAAGAGCTGAGGTGAAGCCAGCTGAACAGCTGGTGCAGTCTGGATAGGTCTGCCCCTTTCAGGAATAATCAGATTTCTCCAATTGATTCCCAATCAAAACTACAGCATCTGTGTAATCACTCAGGATTTTGCATATCTGTATTAGTTACCCTTTTTTATTAAGTTGTGTCTATACTTGATTTGATTTCTTTTGCTCTGGGCACTAGCAATTGTAATTTCATCTTTCTGATTCATTACTGCAGGACTTCAACCTTTTCCCTAGTATAACCTACCAACAATTAATCATGTTTTTGTTTACTGTTTGTAGTGTTAACTGATGGCTACTCAGGCCGTGGGCTAAGCAATGGAGTGTGAGGAATGCACAATTCTGTCTATAACATAATTTGTCTCAAGTTTGTTAATGAGGCCCTGAATTAAAACAATATGTACATCAGGGTGAGAACTTTTTAACAACAAAACACTTAAGATTTGATTCTAGATTTTGGGAGTATTGAACTGCAATGAATTTTTTGTTTAAATTTGATATGCAATGTTTCAGTTCAATTAGTATCTAAATGATATCATCATGTTGTGAAGTTGATTATAGCCAAAGGAGAGGAAAAGTAACATCTATGGCCTATTTTCTCCCCCTGGGTATGACCATATAATTAAAATCTTAGCTGAAGAAGCTGGTGTAGCATTCTCCTGGCAGTCCTAACTTTGAAAGTAAGTTTTTGACTAAGCCAGATGTTTTTATTCTACTTTTATTTATTTACTTTATGTGTTCGTCATTTCTCCTTTGTAAACATGCTTTGGGAACCTGTTTGTTGCTTTTATTTGTGTGCTTTTCTACTGTGTCTTTAGCTGTGTACTACTTATGACAAGTATGCACCAGCCACAGTTTACTTCTTTGTGTGGATTATGTAGAGTGTGTTCCAGTCTTAGCTTTAGTTTATAACAGAGGTGATTTTTGTGCAAATCTCTTGAAGAAAATTTCCTAGCTTATATGCAGTTTTCAAAAAAATATTTCAGAGGGAAATAAACACTCCTGGACTTTTGTATTCAAGAATATTTAAGCCAAGTTCATTAGCATCACAATTTCTGCAATGTTTTTGTCTTCTGTGCAGTGGTAGTAGCTTTGATGAGCTTTTTCAGCCTTGGTGTCACTATTGATGATACATCCACCTTCTGCATTGCAGCACTTCACTTCTCCTCTTGCTCACACACTGCTGACCACCTGGACCCTATCCTAGGACTCCTTGGGCCTTCCCCTGTGGCTAGACTCACTGCTGCTTTGCTCTCTCTAGGGCAGCATCCAGAACTGCTTTTTTCTTCTGAGTGTGCTTTAGCATTGTGGATTCCACAGGAGATACAGTAGTTCCCTTCATTCAAGTCTTTGTTGTTACTCAGAATTACAATATGATCCAGTAGTCAGAATTTCATTGTTTCTGCAGCCTGCAGAAGAAAATGCCATAAACTTTTGTCCTAAGATGTCACTAGACTGACACCTGGGTCTTCTGAAATTGTTTTAAGCTTCTCTTCCATACTTTAATTTTTTTCCTGTTTTACTGCTTAGCCCTGGGATGTGACACCTACACTTCTACTCCCTAATGGAATCCTCATTTATAGGATCATACTATTAACTAAATAGCAATTTCCTTTACCTCCCATACCTCCCTGAGAATGCAGCTCAACCATGAATACCCTGCAGAGCACTACAATTCATGGATTAGGAAGCTATTGGGATTAACAATTCCTATGATATGTAAAACAGAATTCCCACTCTCACATGCTAGGAATGTTTCCTTACATTGCTGTTTACTACCACAGTGATGAATAACTACAACTACCATGAAAATAGTAAATCTTTAAAGAAATTATGACTGTATAAAGGGAAATGACCTGACAAGTGGGTACATTTGGGAGGAAATATTGGCACAGAGGGAAGAGGGGTGTGAATGTGTGGTCACTTTTTACCTGTATGCCTGGATAGCCAGGTTGTCCAGGAAACCCAGCAAATCCTGTTTCACCCTGGAAACGATTGCATAAATACAATTTAATTAATCTATTAAGACATAATTAATTGAGCAAAACCCAGTAAGGCAGTCATACAGTACTGTCATGTTATAATTGTGTCCACAGCTTGTTTCAGAGAATTCCCTGGGTTTGTAAACAAGGTGGTGTTTCACAGACTCTCCTGTGTTGGGAAATTCACAGCATGTATTGGCAGGTTATTCAGACAGTGCTCAGCAGATTCAGAGAAGCTGGGGCACAGAATTAGCTGGAATACATACCAGCAGACTCTGATAGACTGTCTGCTTAATACAGCTGAAATTGGTTTGCTGCCTGCTGAATGACTCTCTTAAACTACTGCATGGAAAGCAACTGCACATCAGCTCTCTTCTCTTTTTATGATTTTCTAATATACTCATCCAGCCAGTATTTGAACTCTTTGGGTAGATAGGAGTGAAAAACAAAGTTAAAAGTATTTTTTGCAGATAAAACAGTCACCTGGAACATAAATCTAGAGGCAAATATTTATACATTAATGTGATTCATGAACAGCATGATCACTACCTTAACTAGAGTTGGGCAAGATATAGATCTATATACATATATATATTGCTCTTCATTTCAGTAAGATGTTTTAAGTTCATAAGTAAAATTTAGCAGACTTAGTATCACTGGAATTTCTCAAGTCACAAACTTGAACAAAACATGCATGCACCACAAAATTACACGATGTCACCATAAAACACAAAATTAACATGCTGCATAGCTTTTCTGTTATGCTGTATGTGTGTCCCACTAACTTTTCTACCTCCTTGCAACTTCAGATTCCATTAGCAAATTTCAGCCCAATTTCAAAGAGTAGCAGAAATTCAAAGACACAAAGTTCATACAGCTTCTGTGGCAACAGGTAGCAGAAGAGAAAAGGAATGCAATCTGAGCTGTGAAGTATGTGAAAATTCCAAATCTGCACAAATCCACAGAAAACAAAATCTCACTGATCCCACTGTTCAGAGAGCTGCTTAATACTTTCTGCCTTCATACCTTCATTCCAGGAAAACCTGCAGGTCCATAAGAACCAGGATGACCCTAATAAAAGCAAGCAGACTGTAAGCTAAAACGGTAAAAACGTATTTAAAATTAAACCTATTCAGAACTGCTGATAGTTAATGTTACATAGATAAATATTATGTGGGGTATCTTCCAAAAACTTTGCAAAGCTTTTGAAAATATTTTCTGTGAGAAATGGACAAGAATTAGAACTACAGACCAAAGCAAGCCAGTCAGGTTTTCACTTATTTTTTTTATCATATTGCATCAAGCATAGTAGTGGAATGCTGCTCCATTTCAGCACTGTTAGGTAAATCAAGCACAAGTAAAGTTCTGTAAAAAACTGCCATCAACACGTGTGCAGAACATTAAAATTACTGTATTAGTACTGTGCTATTCCAGAGCAGCTTTGTGCTGGTCTGAATATTTAGAGGATAACCCTACAGATTTACTTTCTTTCCAAGAGAAGTCTGTGTGAGCTTATGTTTAAGTCTGAGACAGGGTAAGTACCAGGGCAAGTCTCCTAAATATTCAATACATAAAGCATGACAGATTGGGTTAAAAAAATCCTTAAAGTCTTTCTTGAAATTGCAAACTTAAACTGCCTAATTATAGTGAATTTGTAATATAATTTTTTGTGCAATTTTCTTACCTGCAATCCAGGGAATCCAGGAAGGCCTTTCTCACCCTTTTCTCCTCTCCCAAGTATGCCCTAGAGCAGTCAAAATAGGTGTTTTAATGAAGATACTCAGTGAAGTGTGCCATAAATTTCAATTTTTGTGCAGGTTTATTAAATTATGTATACATTGCATTGATGGATCTTGTTTCACTTGCAAGGCTGTCACTGGGGCTGACCTCACACAGCATCACCAGCAGTGCCTAAGTAGCTCCACTTATTTGAGGAACCTGCTCTGGTGTCTTCTCTAAGCTACATACTATTCCAGCAGTTGAATTTTTATATTTTTTTTTAAGTTCTGGACATCGTTTGAGCTGCTTCAGTTGGTTTCTCTGTTCCTGCTTATGACTAACAAGAGCATGTATTATCATCTACACAGACAACTAGTACTGGAGCAATGTCTATAAAGCCCATTTTATTCAATGTAAATCTGATGGAAAAAAATTAGCTTTGCTCTCTTTTCTAGTGCCAAGTAACAGTGGTCTTTTTATGATGGAAAATGAACTTCTGAAAAAGTGCTAGAGTTACAACTCAGAAATGTGATGTTCATGCTTCTCGTTTCTTCTCTTCTGCTACAAAGCTAAATTAGTTTTTAACATAAACTAGAGTTATCCTTTTGCCTCCAATTATCCTCTCTGTTTTTCAGAGATCTGGCAGCTTCCTGCCTATGGATCTTCCTCTTCTGGCAACTCAAACTTAAATTGATCATGTTGACAAAAAGAAAAGAAAATTCAGAATAGACAGTCAAGAGCAACTCTTTCTCCAAACAGGTGACTTTGCCTTCTCCACCCTTGGGGATATCCACAATGTCATGTTAAAGACTTTCCTCAACCTTCTGTGGTAAATATACATCATGCCCCACATGAACACACTCAGATCATCTCTGTTTCTCTTCTTGAGGAAAAATAATCTGTACTTGTATTTTCTTTATAGTTCCAATCCATTATGTCAACTGCCCAACTGGCAACAACACTGACTTTTTGCTACCAGGCAACACTCAATAGGTATGTATAAAACAGACTCAAAGAGATTTTCCAAAGGGTTTTGAAATATTTTTGCTTTCACACTGATTTAGCTGGTGATTAAATTTCACAGCAAAAAATGCTTTAGAAGTTTAACATAATAACCACAGAAGGACTTTGCCAGCACCATGGGAAAAAAAGGTCCTGTTACTTACTTTGGGTCCACGTGGCCCTCTGTATCCTGCTACCCCAGGCAATCCTTTTTGGCCCTAAATATAAAAGAGAAGATTTTGTGTATATTAATATGAAGGATATGCCTATGTGCTAGTTAACTTTTTTTAAGTCCTACTCTGAATTAGAAGTGTTAAATGATGTTTTTATAAGCACTGGATGTGTTTCTTTAGGTGTCCTAGACACAAGAAAAACATTTAAGTACTTATCTTTATTTCTGTTAACACTGTCAAACCAGCATAATGACTGTGGAGGGAGACTTGTATCTTTTCACTTCAAGGATCTGCAAGTCAGTGCTTTGTTCCTACAAATATGCATGACAGTAGTTCTTTTTTTAATTTGCTGCTCTTCTTGGTTTGATGCAAGTACTCAAAAGCATAAATCTACACTTTTGAGCACAGCCCAAATCTGAATGGGGTGCATGGCTGCTTACATGGCCATGATTATGTGATGTAGATGCAGCAAATGTCCCACTTCCCAGGAACATGGGGAGTTTATGGAGGTTCTTTTGGTCCTTTCCCTCTCTCTGTACACCTGTACAGCAGCCATTTGCATGATCAAAGCCCAAGGTCCAACATGTGAAATCTACTGGTTCCCTGAGTTGAGGCTGCAAGAGCTGGCAATGCCAACTTTACCTTTTCATTTGTGTATTTGAGGAAATCTGACTTGAGGATGCAGAGAGCTCTGTAACACAGTTTTTGTTTAAAAGTGACATGGGTTACAAGCATTCTAATGTTCTAAGCCACTCAGCTGTAGCTATGGTAGGTGTGATGTAGAAGAAGTGCAGGCTGCCCAGGAAAGTTGTGGATGCCCCATTCTGGGAAATGTTCAGAGCCAGTTTGGATGAGGCTTTGAGCAGCCTGGTCTAGTGAAAGGTGTCCCTGCCCATGACAGAGGGACTGGGACTAGCTGATCTCTAAGGACTCTTCCAACCCAAACCATTCTATGATTCTGTGATAAATTTGCAATAAAAATTGACACCAAAATCACACAGTTTTTATATTAAAAAGAGTATCCTAGCAGGGTTAGGGTTAGTTCAAAACTGTACATTAGAGTACAGTTGCTAGTGATATGCAAAATTTAAACTATTAATGAAGAGCCACAAAGAGATTCAATAGCACAGTAATCAAATTTGCCAAGATGCCTGAAATATGATTTGCTAATGACAAAAAGTGAAGAAAAGCAAAGCAAGGGCAGTATATCTTTTCTGCATCAACAGTCTTCCCTCCAGAACATGAGCTGAAGTACACGTGGGGTGTTCTCTCCTGAAAGCTTGTAAGGAAGGGTGCTGAACACAGGATTCTGTTGCAGCTGGTGGTTTCTTACAGAAAGATGTTTGTCTAATGCCATCCTTGCAAAAATTATATCATAGGATTGTACTTGCCAAGTTGAGCACTGTTAAATATGATGACAAATTAACACCTTTTGTCCTTTGAACAGCTGAGCTCCAGGAGGTCCAACTAACAGTGGTGACCCAGGTGGCCCAGGCAGTCCGATGTCACCCTGTGGAAGCCAAAGCAACAGCAGAGATGCTCCATGCAGTAGTTCAGTGACACTCTGCTTGTCTTCCTGTTGTAACACAGCACTACGTATTTCTGTACTCACTTAAAATGTACTAATTACCTGCAGATAAAGGTTTGCACTGAAATGTGTAAGCCTCTTTACCATCTGCCCAGAAGAGTAAGGTTGGCAATCTAATCTCCTATTCTCCTGAGTCATTAAAAATAACATTATGGCTAGGGAAATAAATGAGAAAGCCTGGCTCCTGCTCCAAATCTGCTGTGGGGAGAGTAGTTACAGGACTGTCAAATATCTTATGTGTCCAATCTCTCATGTTCTAGACCAAAGCCTTTGAGCACAAGACTTTGTGAATGTGAAATGAAATTATTGATTTGCTATGGAAACTTGTGTATGTTAGACACTTGCACAAATTCTAAGAACTGATTGGACCAATTCATAGAAGAAATATCAAATATTCTTTCATAGAAGAAATATCAAATATTCCTCATTGCTTCTACACATCCTGAGTATGCTAATATAGGTGGAGACTGGTAGAGGAACTATTATTATGTGCTTCTTACACACTTTCCTTGACACCTGTTCTGCACTTAGCAAGAGATGAGATGCAGGATCTGATCTGGTCCAGCCCCTGTCATTAAGTAATCACAAATACTGTTGTGATTATCTAGGCAGTATCTGTTCAGAATATATGCAAATGCTAAGTAACACTGTTGCTTTTCAAAATCTTCAGAATGTGCTTGATTCCTGCATGCAGCTCACTGAAGGAATCACTTCTGCTCAGAATTAATTGATTCAGTAACTTCTTCTGTTCTAACATGATTAGCAGGAGACAAAGCCACAAATGAATGGGTTCCAGGGAACTCAATAAGACACTATTATTCTTCTAATGCTACATCAATAATATATTTATTATTATTTGTTTTCTTACCGGCTCCCCCTTTTGTCCATCTACTCCAATCCCTGGATTTCCCTAATTGATAAAGAATGTAAACAGTTTCAGCATGATCAAAAAATACTAACATTAGAGTTGAATTAAGTAACTCTTTTGAAAAACTTGATAAAAAATAAACATAAGAAACATTTCAAATAGTTGTATAAATTATTATTCCATTAGCAGCTTCAGAAGTTGTTACCTACCTGTTCACCTGGCAAACCAGGGTAACCTGGAATACCCTTTAAAAGAGAATGAAGACAAGTTAATATGTGGGATTTAGAGACAGTTTTTGAAAATTATTTCCTCTTGATTATAGGACCTAGAGGCAGAATTTTCTCTTGGGGTTTACCTATCCCAAAGTACAATTTACTTCACTTGGTCACTGCTTTCAGGAGGGCTGACCTCTGGTTTCCCCCTTTCCTGTCTCCCACAGGTGGTCTTGGGAAAAGGGATTAAAGAGAGCACTAGGAGCATTTCTCCATGATCACAGACTGCCAGGATGAAACATGTTCACACAGACATGGGAAGGAACAACATATCCCTCAACTTCCAAACTTGTAAGGTAAAGCAAAAATCTATCTTATCACCTGCCTCAAAATTACTTTTAGGCTTTGATTCACATTAAGGCAAGTTTTAAAATGGCTAGACAAGAATGAATGCATATGCTAAGGCAAGGCTGTATAACTGGTTATCTTACAGGCAAGCCTGGATGGCCTGGGTATCCAGATGGGCCCGTTGCACCTCTGGGCCCTCTAGGTCCCTGGAAAAGATTGCAAAAGGTCTTTTTGTGAACACAGAAAGAACTTTCCCTTTTCTACACAAACCCAGCCCCTCCAAAACACCTTGGACTCAGCCTTCTGGTCACTGGATTCCACCCAGAGCCCAAAGCTTACACCACAAGTGAAATCTCCCTGTGACTAGAGCAGCCCAGCACCAGCTCCTGGGTAATGCTGGACAAGGCACAGTTCTGTGTTTTTAATGCACTGAGAGTTCACTTGGTCAGCAATTGTGCTACAGTGTAGGGACTTGATACAACTCATCAGTGAACACCTTTTTGAAGGGTGTAACCAGAGGAATCCAAAGCCATCAAGAATGTGATTCAGGAACAAAATTAAACTCTCTCATCTTCTTTCGTGTTCTTATGGCTGGAATATGATGAAGTGCTACTTATTCTTAGGAAACCCATCAGATACTGTAGGAGAAGATTTCATATCTTGAATTTCACAGAGAAAATACTCTGTGAGTACCAGGGCAACAGCTGCTCCACACACAGTGAATGCAGATGAGGATGGACTGTTACTACTCCCTTTCAGCCAGCATGAACTGGCCATGGGAACAGACTATACAGATTTGATGTTTCTCAGACTTTATTCTGGAATTTTACTATTTAAGGCAGGCAGAGAGAAACCCCAATATTTGTTACCATGCTAAGCAGAAAAAAATTTATGGTCTTCATGTCAAAAAGCAGTTCCAGAACCCACTGGCTGTACTTACAGGCATGCCAGGGGGTCCAGGATCACCTCTCTCTCCCTGTAATGACAAATGAACCAGTTCAAACTTTCTTGTGGGTATTTTTTAACTTTACAGATATTAAGATCACAAACTATCTGTTAGAGTTGTATATGTGTTTTTCATTTAGGGTTTTTTTCACTAAGTTTTATTAACTAGTGAGGAATAATGGAACAATTACATTTACCATACATCTTTTCCTACAATAGATGATTTTTTTTCACAATCAGGTACTTACTGGAAGTCCTTTTCCAAAATGTGAAATATAAACTGAATTTCCTTTTTCTCCTTTTTGCCCTGGAATTCCCTTTAAAGAAAAAGAGTCTTTTAAAACATGATCCACTTTTACATTATATGATCCATATTTTACATTTCCAAGGAGACTGTATGATAACTTCTCAGGCTGTGACTTTCAGGTGCCCGTATATCACAAGGTAACCCACAAGGATCATGAATGACCATTTTATTTTAACAAAACCTTCTGTTCAGTTGAGCAAACCAGCTTCCCACAGCTTCTGGACTCTGTTAGCACTTGGGTCCTTCAATATTCTACAATCTTTACAAATCTTGCCTTTAGTCTTTATTTTTCTTTCAGAGAGGCAGTGGCTTTAAGTACTAGCACTCTGCCTTCCATGAAAGTTCATTGTGTGATTCAGAAGAATTTAAAGTGATACTGCATACAAAAAAAAAAAAAAGGTATGGACTGTATTAGATGCATAGTATTCAATATTTCCATGTATTAGGAAACCTGTTTCAGTCTATGAAAAAATCTGATACCTAAGACCCCTGGATTTTAAGAACCAAGTTCCCATGGTACTTGCTGTAGGGTCCTTTATAAAACCCTGTTAATTGTAGCACCCTCCAAAACTCAATCTGAGTTAGCATGAACAGATGATTTATTTTGCAAATTTAACTGTAATGCTCAGTTTAGTGTTAAGAGCATGATATATACATATCTAAAGAACAGATATATAAAGACATTATTGCTGAAGTTTTTTCCATTTGAAATCCAAATAAAGTGGATATAATTTAACTAAGTTAACCATCTGACTACTGAATTCACTAAAATGGGACACTGTCAACCAGGTTAAAACTACTAGTACAGTGTTCATGATATCATAAACTGGCTATCCAAATCCAGCAGTCAGAATGAAACAGGGAAGGTATTTCTCCCTGGAATGGCACAATAAAAGGAAGAATTACAGCTGTCTGCAGCTGGATATAGCTACAGTAGATTAGCTACAGATTACAGGTAAACAACAGTGCTAGGGAACACATTAAACAAATCAAAAGTTGTATTTATCTTTAGTTATTTTACATGTGGTCTCTTGTATAATAAAACATCTTTGTTAGATTCAGTTTTTTATCTTCTATATGACTTAGGCAAGGCCTTACAGATAGAAACTGCTTTCTTATTTTCCAACAAGGTCAATGAATATGTACATGGTGTTAAAAAAAATTATACAGGAGAATGTTAAAAATAAGAATTAGATAAAAACGTTGGCTGTAATGTAACAGGTTTGTACCTGGTGCAACATATCTATTTAAAAATAGACAATCTGCATAGAGAGGCATTCTTGCACACAAATGGTTACTATGTGTTGTTTTTCTGGGTAGCTAAATGAATTTGCACTGGAATTTTAGTTTGCATATCCAAGGCTACATGCCTATTGTGTCTCCCTGTTTTGTAGGTCACAAATACTTTTCTAGGCCTGCCAAAGAGCATGCTCCTGAAATTGGTAGGATTTATGCTGTAATTTGTCCCATATCCCGTTTTTCCTTTATGTCACTTGTCTAATTTCAAAAAGTAAAACTCTATTTTGAAGGCCATAGTCAGTAAGAAAATACGGATGAAATTAGAGTTTCAGCAGAAGTAACAAGTTACTTTCAGAGGTATAACAAATAAGGTTATTATTAAGTTTATAACGTTGCATCTTTCATAGCATGAAACTGTATTTTATTCTAATTGGTATTATCTTTGATAACATCATTACACTCGTGAATCCTCTCCACGTTTTTCTAACAGCTGAATTCATTAGTAGCATTTTATTTAGCTCTCACTAAACACGTTTGATTTTTCATGTAAAGTGCAGTTGTTTTTATTGTATTACTTAGAAAATTTCAGGGAAGCTGTTAGACCAACTAATCAGCTCTAATTCATTCAGAAGTAAAACTTGTTTCCAGAAAAAGTCAGAGACTGGTGACTTGAACTGTTCTGCAAAATTTTTTTGGACCTACAATAATTTATTTCCCTTAATGACAAGAATCTTTTTATCTTCAGTAGTCAAGTACTGCTAACACAGCTACTTAAACAAATATTAAAGTGCTAATTTCAAACATTTTAATGTGGAACGATCTCTGCATATACAGATACATGCCCAGGCAAGACTAGGAGTGCATAGAGCACATATGTGTAAAAAAGTGGTACAAAATCTTAGAGTGTAACAGGACTTAGGCTTGTTGAACCTTCCACTTAATTTTTAAGTCATGTCACCTATGTCTCTACTAGTAATGCTTTTAAGAAATTTCAGGTACTAATGAATGGTATGGTGGTTTCAAGCTTCACCTTCTCAGCTGGTGTGGCTTCATTCTGGGGAAACAAGTCAGAATTTAACTCTCAAGGCAGCCACATGTATTTCAAGGATACAGGACCTTATTTGACATTCAAGCTTAATCTGTTAAGGCAGTGTGCTTCACTCCCATTAACCTGAGTAAGAATTCCTGGGAATTCCCAGGAAATTCCCAGCAGCAGTGTACAGCTGGTGCCACAGTCTAAGTCATTTTAAGAGCAGTTAGCTTGGAGGGGAAATGCACATGCACAGTGGGAATGCCTTTCACATACATAAGGACCTCTTGGTCCCATGTAACCGTTTTCTCCTGGAAATCCTGGGTCACCTCTGGAGCCATTGCAGCCATCCAAACCATGCTTGCCTCTGGGTCCTTCCCTTCCTGGGAGGCCCTGAAAGACAGTTTATTATTTATTAGAAATACACCATGACTAATGGGAAATTACTTTTTAAATTAACAGAACAGTTCAGAAACAAATATATCTCAGATGTGAACAAGATGACTTCTCACATTGGTGCTGGTTTCATACTCTTGCATTAGAAATGCTTTCTATTCTGAATATATATTTTTTTGTGTGGTGTAGAACAAATGAGGAAAGTCTTTTATTTGAGTTTTTTTGATGCACAGGAAATATAACAGGGACAACACTGGTTAAGAGGACCAGACTGTGTTCTCACTTGAGTGAAAAAGTAATGTTTGCCTTCTCAGACAATACTGACTCTAGCTCTCTATCTGTCGTCTTTCTTGTGGCTGCAAAGCTGAAAAAACCCACCAAAAAAACCCCACGATGTCTCAAGCAGCCTCATGGTTTGTAATTGTTAGGATAAAAAAAGTAAAAAGAGGACACAGCTTGACTCAGGCACACAGTAATTACAGAAATTGTGATTTTTCTAACCTAGCAATAACTAGCCAGTGTCCAGATAAGGATTAGTTCTACTAAACATTAGGAACTGGCCAATGAAACAATGAGATTTTTCTTGGAATAATCTTCCTGTTCTAGGAAAAAACTATTTTTCACAGAATTAAAGACTTTTGTAAGGACAAAATATTCATTTTGACCTAAAATTATTTTTTGGGGGGAATCTGAGAAATTGTCAAGTAAGTATCCTCCTGGCCATTTGCCTGAAATGCTTTTGTCAATTCTACCTCTTCCTGTCTGTAAATGCTTCAGTCTAATTTGTAGATACTATTTTTAAATTAACTTTTTTTTTTTTGCAAAAATAATATCTATTTCTTGGGAACACTTTTTTTTTCTTTTCTTTTTTTTTTTTTTTTGCCAAATTTTGGGCTTGTGACCTCTACAGACATTTTACAGACATTATCCAGACATTTTGGCAACAGTCCCACTGTCAAATGTGGACAGCTGACAAGCCGATGTTGCAACACCCACTCAGCTTTTGGTTCTGTTTTCACTTTCAAAATTCAAAATTTTAACTTTGTTTGATCCATATGAAACTGGTAACATCACAGGAATTCAGTTCTAGTAGAGTATTTTTAAAATTCCAGTATCAAAGATACTATTTCACCAATTTTCACACTGAGGAAGACATTCACAAAAATACATTATCACATGCTTATAAAGACATACTTAGGACCCACTTTGCTAATTCAGCCCCTATTCAGGTTAAATTACTGGACTCAATTGTTGGGTTTCCTCTTGCAAAAGGACTACAAGCAAAAATCAGAATATTTGAACAAAAAACAGTGGATTGTTTGAGATATTTTCAGGGATATTAAGAATTAACCAAGCAGACTAGAGTGTGCTATAGAGCCTGAGATAAGAAATATACTGCTTTGAATCCTAGCTCTGGCACATGCTCCATGGCCATGGGTGGTCTCTGCCTTCACTGCCCCACTCCTCCATGAAAATTCTCTACTTACCTCATTGGGATTTGCTGGCCTTTGTTGTCAATAGGAAACACAGCTGAAGTTAACCTAGTTATTTTACATTTTTTCAAAACATGTAACTCTGAGAGAAATTATATCAATAAGTATAAAGAATTTAGTGAGTGTATTATTCTGTTAGAGGACTTGCTATGAATTTATAGGACCTATAATTTTTATAAATATTAGTTTAATACGTACAGGAACACCATCTAAACCAGGAAATCCTGGGACGCCAGTTGGGCCCTAAAAACAGGTGATATGAAAAAACAAAGTTAATGAGGTCATTAACTCTTAAAAAGAATTAAAAACAATAATATGTGGTACTATATAGCAAGAAACAAAATAACAGTCTTGTTTGAAATATCAATCAAAAGCCACAATTTTCAGAAATTAAGAATCTGAAAAAAACTTCTACAGGCCTAGCAGAAGACTAGTGCAAACAGTTACCCATGTGACAGGTGGTACAGTATAGGACAAATGTCTAATACTCAACAGCCATTCATCCTCTGAAGATTATAAAATGACAGAGAATGGGAAGTTGCCTGTAACTTATAAAATATTTCTGTACATAATTTCACAATGCTGCTCCAGTACAATACAATTTTTGTTTACAGTATTTACATTTCAGGTGTGCTAGATACTGACATTAGTGATTTCACTCTGCAATCAGTCAAATTAGATTTTTAAAACTAAGATGAAGTACCAAGAGCCAGGGATAGTACAGATATGAATCTGAACAGCAGTTTATAATCTCTAAGTGGTAATAAAATTCTGCTTAGTGCAGCACTTTTATAAGCACCATACTGCTCCCTCCAGCTCCACACTTCAACATCTTCTTTGAGGTTAAGGAGGATGACATGTTATGTGACAATCTGAGTCTGTCTGTTCATCATATTTTATGTCTTCTGACTATTCTAATCTTGCAATCCACAGCAAAAAATCTCCTGAAATACTTTTTCAAGAATTAATTTTCTGTAATTGACTTCTGTGAGAATTTTATGTGAGCAAGAAAATAGTTTGGCAAATGCTTTTTGGTCATTCAAGTTCTGTTTCACTTATTTAACTTTACATATTATATACACCTAAAAGAGCTGTCTGTGGTGTTTCCTACCTTATCACCTTTTTCTCCAGCTGGCCCAGGCTGCCCATTCTCACCTCTCTGTCCTTTCTCCCCTGGCAGACCAGCTGGTCCTGTAGATCCCAAGGACCCAATTGGACCTTGAGCTCCCAGCTCACCAGGCTGACCCTGAAAAGAGTTCAAAAAAGTGGATGACTACTGCTGTAACCCCCACAGCAATTCAGAGATGACTCTGTGGATAAAACAAGGCTTACAATATATAAATATTCATGATTGAAAATAGCTGCTGGACAGCCTGCAAAACTGTCCCATCCATTAGGTGCTGTAGGAACATGACATTCAAGTTTATCAACTTGCTTAAGGTGATAATTTTTTTTTCACCTTCATCAGGTCTCCAAGACCACCTCTCTGAGATGCTTGGGATAACCTGCAAGTCTCCACCAATTGAAGTATCACCTTTTGCAAGCCTAGGACTCCAATGAGCATTGTTTTCCCACCAGAAAAATGAGGACTCATTTTAGACAAAGGGACTTTGTACACAATTAGAACAAATCAAGCAAGTTCCCTCTTTCAAGACATGGTATGCCAATTATCTTAAGTTTTTCTAGCTCACATTTTTCATAATCATTCTCATATCTTAGTGCAAGTTTCCTGGAGAAAAAAATAATAGTTATTAGAAAACATATTCACAGAAAGTATCAATTTTAATAGATTGTGTTAAAATGGATTGGGGGGTTGAAGAATGTAATTTATCTATAAATGGCTTTAAATTGAGTATTTGTACCTTCATTACCATGCAGTCTCCATAGATTTCTACTAACTTTTCCAAGGTAATACAGATTCTCCTGAAGCCAAATTACTTCTTATGCCAACTGGACTTTTCAGCCTATAACACTGGTGTGAAGTTGTTTCAGATGTGTTGCAGTTTTTGATCTGTGCTGCTCAACAACTATGCCAATCATAGATTTAAAGTGCTGAATAAAGTAAACTTTCTAATCAGGCTTCACATGTGAGCTGTCTATACTTCCACCCTATAAAAATCTATGTTATTGCAGGTCTTTATTTCTCTTACATATCTTTTTCATTTTATATCATTATCCTTGTCTACCGATAACTTGTTCTGTTTCCAAACTGAAGACATTTTTGCTTTCTTTCCAGATTTCATCCATTAATTATAATTAATTATTATAACTGTAATTAATTATATTAGTTACACAGTATGTATAATCAATCAATAATTTTAGTATAGAATTAATTCTTATAATTCAGTATTTTAAAAGAGAGCAAAATGGAACCCCATACGTTCCTGAGAAAACCCTACGGCTTTAGGACCACTTGAGGGCAGTAAAAGATATTTCAGTAATACAGAAGTAACAGACTATATCTTTACTTTTATGAATGGATTGACAAAAGAAAAAAAAAGATGGAAATGAAAGATAATTGTAAGAAGGATATGTAGCTTCAGGAAGCAAAAGAACTGAAGGCTTGCTTCTCAGTGTAAACACTTCAGCAGGCTAAATCTATCTGGACAAAATCTTGTGAATTATAAGCAGGGACTTAAGCTTCTTTTACTTTTTATTTATTTTCTACTTTTCTTTGTAAAATCAGTGTGATTTGACAGTTGGAGCAGAAGTGAAAAAATGTATGGTACGCATCATTCAATCAAACCAGCAAAGCAACAGAGAAGGTAATTACTGTGTTTGCACAGGAACATACCATAGGCTCATGTCACAGTGGAAGTAGGGCTGGGTGACCACTGGCCCTTAAGATGTGAAAAGGAACTTAGTCCAGAGGCTGGGAAAAGAAGTCCTACACTTAGGAATAAGGACCTCCTAAAAAAAGAATCCTCATATGAGTCATGTTCTATTTATCTTTACTCCTCTCACTGCAGCCTTGATCCTGCTTCCAGAGAAGTCACTAGCAAAAATTCCAGGGCAGAACCAGCATGTTGTCTTCTCTAACAGTTAAATTTTTTGTGATACCAGAATTTCAGCAGTGTAAAATATTATGCAAATTAAGGGCTACTGGTATTAAAAGCTGCTGATTCTGCATCCTTGTTAACAGTGAATGGACAGTGGGGTTTCTGGGTGTTGAGTGTCTGCTTGCATGAACACTTGCAGCCTGTCTACTGGCAGTGCATTGCTTATTCTATGTTAGAATGAATTTATCAATTGAAGTACTTCTAAGGCAGCTATTATGCTCTTTAAATACTTGACTGAAAAACTAATTGGACGACCATTTTAATTAAAGCATCATTTTGAGTACCAGTGAAATGAATCAGACTAATAATATAATAAAATACAACTGTTTGAGCAATTAACTTTACCATAAGTGGCTTTTTAGTTCTCTAAACTAGCGATTACCTTGCAAAATGCATCATCCATCAACAGGACAAGAAAAGCATAAGATGTTTTGCACTCATTTTATAATGCCTTTGTCTTTCAATGCATTTTGTTGACAACAGGTTTCTGCACCAACTTCAAATTTTCTTAATTACTAGTGTATATGTCCTGCATTCAAGAGTTGAAAGAGAAAATTTTCAAAACCTGTTATATCCTTTGGACAGTTAAGAAACATGATTTTTATTGCACTCAGAAAAAATGCTGAGACACTGTAGGCATTCCATGGTAGTTATTATACTTAACAAATAAACGCTTCCAGGACATGTAGTACTTTAGGTTGATAAAATGTCTTCATCTGCTGCTACTCTGTGAATTAATTGACTCCATGGTCTTCAGTAGAAGGTAGTGAAGTCATAGAACAGAGTCACTGAATTCAAAATTCACAATGGGTTTGGCAGCTGATACAACTTTAGCATGCCATGTGAAGCTGATGGATTCTCTCTCTTTCTTTCAGCTCAAAGACTGATAATGACTGGAGCTTTGTTAAGACCAAACTGATACCATGCCATAACATCTATTATCACATCTATTATTTGTGCCCATCCAATGTGACTACCACAGCATTACAGTCTCAGGACAGCTGTAAAAATAAAGAGGATGAAGGTAGTCATGCTCATGTGGAAATGACAAATTAGCTCAGATAAAATGAACAGAATATTATGCCCGCTCTGCCATCTGATGCCAATAAATTCCTCTAGGTTTTCAGTGCCTTGTTAATTGTCTAGGTCAGGAGCTACCATGCCAAGACTACAGTCTGTTATTTTAGCATATCCTGGGCTTGACCTGCAGTAAGAAATTGACTTTAAGCAAAACAAGGCTATATTGTTTTTTAATTAACTATGCTTCCTAAGAGTAAGACTGCAAATACTTCAGAATCATGAAACAAAACATTTAATATTGTTTGGAAAAGGCAATGGTCAAGGTTATCTGGAATTAATTATTTTTGATGCATGAGACTGAAAGCACCTGATTTTGAGAGTGCCTTAAGCACTTAACTGTCTCAAGCACAATGTTTAAAAGGAGTCTTAATTGGAAATGAAAAAAACTTCATGCTACTCAAATGAATTTTCTTGCTTGTTATCAAGAAAGTCGAAAGAAGCCCAATTATCACCTTCAGCTATGGAGATGTACCAGTGATGTACCAGTGAAATGCACTTACCTTCTGTTCATAAAAACAAAAGTGAAAATGCCCAGCAATTCCACACAGATTGTAGGCAAATAATACAGCAACCCTTTCCACTGTGCACTGGACTCTGGCTTGTAACCAGCCTTTTTCATTTCCCCAGGAGCAGGACAGAGCAAGAAGGAAAGTAAAGCAGTCTGTGGGCAAGAGAGGAGCGCTCACAAAGCGTTTGGAGAGATGTTTTATTTTGTCATTTGCTTAGTGAGGTGGGGGCATCTGCTGCTGCTCTAAGCTCCACCCATGTCCTCTCCCCTTTTAGAAGAGCTGATCAAATACAGAGCAAAGCCACAGCTTCTGGGGCTTGGAGTCGTGTCCCTTCTGGGAAGATTCTACTCCTCACTGGGTAAGACTAGAAACAAACTGATTTTCACTGTGAGCCAAGGCTCAAAAAAGCCCAGAACAAGCCCTCTTCTAAATATAAACCTGATTAAGAGAAATATGAGAAATCACACAATTTGGCATTAAATCCAATCTCTTGTCCTTAACAGACCAAATTAGATAATTTTTTTTTCATACATTTTTAGCCAAGTAAATGCAATAATAATACTTAGAGCTTGACTTTTCACAGAATCAAAGAATGGTTTGGGATAAAAGGGATCTTAAAGATCACATAGTTCCAAACCCCCTGTGCCATGGTTAGGAACTCCTTCCACTAGACCGGGTCACTCAAAACCCCATTCAACCTGGCCTTGGAACACTTTCAAGGATGAGGTATCCACAACTTCTCTGGGCAACCTGTGCCAGGGCCTCAGCACCCTCACAGTAAAGAATTTCTTCCTCATATCTAATCTAAACTCTCTCTCAGCCTGAAGCCACTACCCCTTGATCTGTCACTATAGGCCTTTGTAAATAGTCTATCTTTCTTGTAAAGAACATCTAAACCATGCTCTAAACTGTTGGAAAATGTGGAACTTATCATATTAGGCAACTTTATTATATTTTTCAATTATATAATATGCTACAAGAACAAAACACCTAATGATGCAGCTTAGTATTCACAGTAGTACTTTACAGAAGCATGACAAATCACAGTGAAGTGCTCAAAACATCATTCATAATGTATACTTATGTTTGTGTTTTAACCCTGTGGGCCTTCGAAAAGAAAAACTATCCAATAAGCCAGTGGGTGTCACTATTGTGTTAAACAAACTCAACAAATCATAATTTAGCACTGAAACTCTTAACTGCTAATGGCTGAAAGCAGAGAGCTACAAAAGAGCATAAATATTATAGAAATAGACCACAAATAATTAACATCAGCTTAGCTAATAAAATTAAATTGAATTTTGTTCTGTACCATTTTATTGAAACGATATTGAAAATTTATTGAAATTTTTTGGTTGATTCAAATCTGTAAAAAATAATTATTTTGTAGAATTTTATCTTGCTTGATTTGGAAAAGCTTCATAATCTGTAGCAACTGGGAAAAAGCACCATATTCAGTATGGTAGGATATGAGAACCAAAAGTATTAAGAAAAGAAAGATGCTCAAGAACAAAAGGAGGGATAATTAACAAGGTCAAAAGTTCTGAAAATTTGGAAAATGTCTAATATGAAAAATGCTAATTTACAGATGCTGTAGCTGGGCATCGTATATGATGAACAACCTCAAAGAGACCTTGCAGTGATTGGTGTGATTCTCCTTACAGACTGGAGTGGCTATTCCCCATTCTGGTAAGCAGGATCCATTCCCTACCAGTTCAACTTTTAACTTCTGCAGTCAGAGAACTGCCTATCTCTCTGCCCAGTTACAAAAAGAAAAAAAATTTAAAGTGTGGTTTGCTTCAGACATAGATTTAGGGGTCTTATTTCTCTGGGTCTGTTTTATAGAAAACCATAATATGGTTCTCAGTGAATGTAAGTGAAATGTATAACTGGTCTCAGGAACCTTCTGCTTTAAAACTTACAGCTAATGTACTGGGAAAAAATGATCAACAAGTAGGAGGCAAATAATGGGAGAAATCTGGATTTCCTCAGATGCCAGTGTACATACATCTCTGATAGTGGATTTGAGATCAAGCAGAAGGATTTTGCATATTTATTTCCTGAGGGTGCCACTTGAAAATTCAAATACAAGTACTAGATATTCCATGTGAATGACAGACTGCCACTTCACACTGACATGCAAAAAAAGTGTGTTTTAATAAATGCCTCTTACTTCCCAAAATAGACAGAATTTGCACACTTTTCAGAGTTAGTGCATTTAAAATATGTTTACACTGTGCTGTAAATTGAACTCAGATAACCCATGGAATCTACTAAGGAAATTTGGCAACTCACAAGAGCTACTGGGGAGATGTTACAAGAGAAGCAGAGCCAGAGTTTTGACTTACTCTCAGGTAACTGCTCATTCTTACCTCAGGCCAGTGCATTCTTGCCCTGCAGTGACTGATACCAGCTGACTTCCCAGCTTACCTGTGACACCCAAGTGACTCAGCATCTCCTGTGAATGCTAACTCCTTACATCTGAAGTGTCAGAAAGTGTAAAACCCTCCTATTAGATTTCTGTTTGCTGCATTCTCCCCTACACTAGGATAAAAATAAGCCTCTTGCTTCATCCATCTGCAAAAGAACGAGCATTGGTCCTGCTGAGTTATATTTATAATTCACTTTGATCCAGGCATTTCACATGACCCCATAGAAGCCAGATCAGGTTGGGTCATGAATAGATGCTTGCTTCCCAAATCTACTTAACTAAAAACAAAGCCAACGGAATTGAATAGGATCAAACTCTGGGTCAGCACAGGACAGGTTTACAAGCGGTCAGTGCTAACTGCAAACATTTTTTTAACAATCTAAATTCTATTAGAGCAGCCAGCATTTTTAGAAGCCAGTGATAAAATATTGCAGGAGTTTTCTAGGAAACAACTTTCCGATGTAGAAAAAAGAGAATGAAATGGTGGAAAGGTTTTACTCTGTCTTTAAGGAAAATTGAAATCACAGACTTTACAGCCTACCAAAAAGGAAGAGGGGAAAAAGAATCTAGTAAGTCAGGTAGAACACTTATTGCCATATATACTTTCACTAATGATGTTTTGCCTTATTTATCTGTTCTACAGTTCTGAAATGGCTAGATATAATAGCACACAGTATGGGCAAAGAGATTTAGCAGCACATTTTAATGGTGTCCTATGGAAGAAAGAGTCCTTTTGAATTGTGAAGATCAAAAGATAAACAGTTTCATGAAAAACTAATTCCAACAAGACTGTAATCCCAAGCGAACAGAAGTCAAAATTTCATTGTGATGTGAACAATTGTAATGATATACTACTAGCAGTAGTGACTAAAATGTTTTTTCAGACAATGGTTTCTTGCTAATGAATAGGAGTGCAAACGTATTCATTGCACAGAGGTATATATGTTAGAGAGAATTAAAAATGATAGGTACACAAGCTCTTCTAAAACACAATAGAGCAACTGATGCATAGCTATAAAGGTTATATTTAAATATTAAATGAAAGTTCAGCTATTTGCTTCTACTTGTCTTTCAATTTTCCCAGTATCAATACATTCAAGGATGGCCATGGCAGTTTCAATTTCTTATTCCCATGGTCAGCTTTTCTCTAGCTAAACTTCAATTATCATTACCTTGTCGACTTAATGAAGAAGGCTTTTGATGTTGAAATTTAAAATATTTTCAAATGGGCAAATAGAAGGCAAAGTGTTAATAACAAAAGTTCTGAATATTTAGGCTTGTGTACTGTACAATGCCAGAGGCTTTTAATAATAATTTGTTTCTTACCATTTCAAGACAGGATTGAGAAAGATGCAAAACTGAGGAAAGAGCCTCAGAGCAGGATTCAGACAGAAAAGCAGATAAAGCAGATGTTTTGCATTCTAGAAAGCTAACAATAAGATAAACCAATCTTTTATTTTGTAATGGGTAGCCTCCACAAAAACTTGGAGAGCAAATTTAGTGTGTCAGAGTGTAAAAGCAGAACACAGCAAAGTTTAAAACCCAGAAGAATTGTAGTATGAAAGAAAAGATTAAATAATCCTATAGAAAATTATTCATCACCATACATTAGTATAGAAAATATGTGCAGTAATCTATGTGAAGCAATATTTAGTTAAGCCATGTTTCATGTAGGGTTTGAAGAGTACTTCTGTTTCTAGTATATTGATTAATATAAATGACTGCATGAAATATAAATTCCTATTACATTGGAGATACTTTATCCATTATTCATCAGGGTACTTATTTCACAGCTTTTTTAGAAAATGCTACAATTCTCAGACTTACAGTTGCATAATAACATTCAATTCATTTTGAAGTGTTTACTACACCTCTATTTGGCACTTAGGTCCAGTTCCTTGGAATTATTTAGAAAACTAACTGCAAATGCATGAATCATAGCACAGTTTACCTGTGATGAGGACAGCCTAGGAAAGAGCCAGAACAACTGCAGGAGATATTTATTATTGACTAAGTATGGCCATGTAATTCAGAACTTCTGGGCTACTGAGTGAGAACCCAAATGAGGGAAATTCCCCCTAGTTTGAAAGTCAGTTGTTTTTAATGGCACTTCAGATCAGGTTTTTGGTATCTAAAACAGTCTGTTCAGTAGCACTGAGACACTGCAGTGGTACCAGTCAAAATACTTTTCCTGGGATGCCCTTTTGTTAGCACAGTGTTACAGAGATACACGCACCCTAGGCCTCTATTATGAAAATCCTACAGCATGGGGGACTTTCACATAGACATAATCCTGGAGGATTAGGATAGGATCCAAGGACACCAGGGCAGTGATCATGACACAGCAAAGCGTGCAGCTAACTGCAGAAGCACAGGAAGAAAAAGGTGTGTCTTGCTTTTCTGGCAACTCAGGTTGAACACAAAGAAATGGGGCACGTGGCTCTTCCAAAATTGATCCACCATATTCAACCTTCCTAGACCTAAACTTAACCATTAGTACTTCCGTAGAAAAAAATTTTTATCACTGACAATTTTTCAGTTGATCACCAATCAGGACATACATATTCATATGTATATACCTATGTTTTTTCCTCACACAATGTTTAAATTATTGGTGATCTCTGTGAGCAATTAGCAAAATGCACAGTTACTAATTTTGGCATGTAATGTGAAAATACCTTAGAGTTGTTTTATAATTATTCATAACACAAAGAGAACTCAGGGTTTTTTTAAAGTTAGTATATTAAGTGAGTAAGCTAAAAAGTCTGCAAACATCTTTAGAGTTACCTAACCCAAATAAGAAATAACTAAGTTCTCATAAAGCTAGAGAGTGGCATGGACATTCTCTTTCAATCAGCCTCTTAGCAGAAAACAAGCACAGATTTCTATACTTTATATGTATTAGGAATTACATTTATCTAATTCCTAGACTGATTTCAAAGAATCCTTAATACAAGAAAGGTACTATGATTAGTATAAACCCAATTAGAAACAAAATTGTTTACAAACAATCTTAGGTTTCTTCAGTGACAGCTACACTTGATACCAGTGAGAGAATTATG